GCAGGTGGTCTTTAGGGCTCCTTGAGCTCCTTGTTCAGACCTCAAAGGAAGGTAGCCATTAGTGCTGCCAAATCTGTCTTTCAGCAGCTAGTGTACTTAACTCCATAGCGTAATTAGCCAATGACCTTTTTCCCTGATGTTTGCAGAGTAGCCAGCAACCAACCTCTCCTTCGCGAACCAGGTGGTCAAAGACATGGCACATGGGGATTACCCAAGTGAGGGCTCGCCCTATCAGAAGGGAGATGACATATGACATTTTTGCTGTATCTATGGGGAATCAGGAGGATTGCTGCTCCAAAGCAGGCAAGAATCATAGAGGGAAGCTTTAGCACCCCCCCGACTCCCCTGAGTAACGCTCAGGGGCAGGCAGTAATGGCTGAACTGTTCAAGTAGATTCTTTCCTGGGAATAGGCCAGTAAAGCACTGTGGCATTGAAATTTGGGAAAGCCACAAGAGTATTTGTTTGGTCTTTTGATGTCTCTTTAGTTTTCAGGGTTTTTGTGAGTCATTGGAATTAGCCAAGCCACACTCTAGTGGCTTATCAATCTGGGTTTAACTACTCAGGTCACTGATCAGTAAGTTGAAAACACATGTGGATCTTCGCTATTATTTTAAGGCTCATCGTTTTTAACAGAAGGACATGAGAGCAAATGACAGTCTGTAAGGTGACCGATATTAAAATACTTAAATACTTAATGTACAATGCCGAAGGCACTGCTCCAAGAGAAGGAACGTGAGCTTTATTAATAAATTCCCTTGATTGATCACACAACACGCTTCCATCAGCAGTGAACTGAACCAGGGTTTGTTTGAAGCAGACCAGGTCAAAACGGAGCAAACTAAAGAAAAGTTGTGATGGTCCTTACCAGACAAGGTAGGTGAAAGCACCCTGAGGAGCTTCTTTAACTCTGGCCCTCGGCTGTGTTGTCCATGGTCCACAGGTTGAGAAACCCTGCTGTAACTGGTGCACTGGGGCGAAAGCCATACCCAATCTCTGCCTATCTAGTCCTATGAAAACTGTAAATTATCCCTTGCATTGATGGTCCCTTGAGGCAGAATGGAGTGTAGCACAAAGGAATGGACCCTGTGCAACCAGGAGGTGAATCAGGTCAGCAGTTCGAACGCCCACAATGTCAGAATAAAATACCCAGATACCTTGAGGACATTGAATTGAGCTTCCCCAGTTAAACAGAGTGCCTTCCCTCTGACAATTTCATATGCAGTACAGCATGCATGTGATCATGAAGAGGATATCTTATCATTCTAAGAGAGCACCACCCAAAAGGCTACCCCCACAGCCTTCAGCTTTATGAATAGTGGAAGCATTTATTCTCCTAACTCCATCTGTATATTGAAGAACTTAGAGATACAGAAACTGTAACAAACTTCATTTGTACATACTTTGAGAGAGAATTATTTGAGGAACCAGATAAATTCTATTACTTCTTGTGCTTACCCAGAAGTAGGAGCCTCATCACAGCACATAAAACAAAGAACCAGAGAATGTGCAATGCCCCTGCAATTGGTCAGGTAGTCAGAAACAGCTCCTTTAGTGGGTATAGAGGACTGGTACCAACCTAAACCAAGAGACACACTCTGTCCACGGAGTAAATGACAGTCATCCTAGAACAACACTTCCTCCTAATCCAGCTTCTATGCACCACTTATCATCACATAAACCAGTTCCTAATTCCATATTACTCTCTAAACAGACTCAGTGAGTCCTTCCGGTACCTGCACCACAGACCAAGTTTGCACCTTCAGCTGTGCAAGATTGTTCCATGAACATATATGATACATGTCTTTGACAAAGTAAAGGATAAATTACAGCTAATTAAAAAGCAGACAGAACAACTTTAAATTGCTGTAGGATTTTAAGCCAAGTCACCTCACATCAGTATAAATGTTTACCTAGAAACTATGCATCAACTTACCTGCCTAACCCAGTTGAAGATGATGGCCATCAGCTTAACAGCAATCTACTTCCTCCTCCTCCTCCTCCGCTTACTACAGTTACTCAAGAGGCAGCCTACCATGGGCTAAGCCATCAACTCCCTACTTCAGCCAGAAAGACCCTAGTGAGTTTTCGACTTGATGGGTTCTACAATGTCCTACAATATTGGTAGAATTCACAGCAATATATTCAGCCACAGCAGTGTCTTTGGACATAAGTCAACCTTTTTCCTACTTGCCTGCCCAGAGATCTTGAAAGACTATGGCGGTTAGATTCCCTTCCTTACTGCTGTGAAAAACTAGTAACCAGATCCAGAGAAGACTGAGCAGCCATTCAGACGTTAGAGACCAAGACCACCCTTGTGGAGGTCAAAGGAGTATTCCGGTATGCAACACCCCTGCTTCGGAAAGAGACACACTTTAGAGCCATGATGGAAGCTGTAATGCCACTTTTGAGAGATACAGAAAAAAAACTGGCTAAAGAGCCAGTTGTGTTTTACATCAACAATGTGAGTCGACTCAAAATGCAGCTTTTGAATTATCAGTTCATTTATAAAAGATAAAGAGTTATTCAAAACATATATCACCCATGTGAAAAAGTACTTACCCCCCTAAACCTAATAACTGTTTGTGCCACCTTATGGCATTTGCAATAACTTGTGATGAGTCTTCTACATCGCTGTGGAGGAATTTTAGCCCACTCTTCTTTTCAGTATTGTTTTATTTCGGCTCCATTGTAGCATGAACTGCCTGTTTAAGGTCTTGCCACAGCGTCTCAATGGGATTCAAGTCAGGACTTTGACTTGCTTGTGTGCTTCAGATCATTGTCCTGCTGCATAACCCAACTGCACTTGAGCTTTAGATCACAAACTGACGGGCAGATGTTCTTCAGGATTTTCTAATAGACCATGTTTTCTCAGACCATCACAATACCAAAACCTTGTTTGACTGTTGGTATGATGTTCTTATGATGGAATGCAGTGTTAGCTTTATGCCAAATGTCATGGAACCCATGTCCTCCAAAAAGTTCTACCTCAGTCCACAGAACATTATCCCAAAAGTCTTGGGGTCATCTAGATATTTTTTGGCAAATGCGAGAGAAGCCTTTGTGTCCTTTTTAGTCAGCTCTGGTTTGCGCCTTGCAACTCTCCATGGATGCCATTTTTGCCTGCTGTCTTTGGTATAGTGTACATTGAACTTAACTGAGGCAAGTGAGGCCTGCAGTTCTTTAGATGTTCATCTGGGTTCTTCTGTGGTCTCCCGGATGAGTCATCAATGCGCTCTTGGTGAAATTTTGGTAGGCCGGCCACTCCTGGGATGGATCATCACTGTACCAAGTTTTCTCTATTTGTGTATAATGGCTCTCACTGTGGTTCCCTGGAGTCCCAGTGCCTTAATAATGGCTTTGTAACCGTTTCCCGACTGGTAGATTTCAGTGACTTTGTTAGGCGTCAGTATTTGCATCTCTTTCGAATGTGGCATAATGTGATTCAGCAGGTCCAGCAGTAACCATGCTTGAAAGAAGCTAGTGAAATTGAACCCAATAGTAAATTGAATTTGGATAACTGGTTGATTTAGTAGCTAAGGGGGGTAATTACTTTTTACATAGGGCCAGGTAGGGCTGAACAGTGTTTTTCCTTCAATAAATAAAATCATCATTTAAAAACAGCATAGTGTGTCATCTTCTTTGTCTACTGCTAAAAATAACTTGATGATCTGAAAGTGTGACATATGCAAAAAATGAAGAAATTGGAAAGGGGCAAATACTTTTTCATAGCTCTGTACATACTGAATTTTAATTATTGATTATACAATGTATTGCATGAACTCCCAAAACACATACTGTTCATATCATGCATGATGTAATGTTGCTATGATCACTTCTTTAAGTTTTGCAGGTAAGACAGTGCTGCAAATGCAAACTACTAATATTTTTTTTTTCTTATTTTATTATCTTGGCCTGACATACGTGTATTCTATGTTTTGCATGTATGCTCCTGGAACACTCTAATTTCCCTTTGGGGATTAATAATGTTTTATCTTATCTGATCTTGTTGTACACAAATACAAGTCAGGGCACAAATACAATAGACATTCTGTTGTAAGTCAGGAAAACATGACCAGACGTGTGTAACACAGATTAATGAAACAAAGGAAACCAGCTGCTAGGAAATTATTCTACAAGGCCTGGGATCACTACCAGTTAAGCAGGCAATGCCCTTTTTTAGGTCTCATTGAAAGACAAAAAGTACCTTCTATGGCCCCTTTTTTTACTTTTATTTTTATTAAAAATGAATAATAATGTTGCATTGGTCAATTATTTCATTCATGCAGATGTAATTATGTATTGGCCCACATATACATACTTATATCCTGAGCTGGGCAAGTATGGGCAAAGTAGAAGGCTATACTTTACTTTAGGCTAGACTTTAAAAAAATGCAAAAAATGACAGAATTAAAAACTTGTGTAACACGACGAATCCGCAGAAATAGTGAGTTATGTGATACAGTGTGGCCTTGTAAAAAAAATTTTTTTTAGACTTTTTAGAATTTAACTTTTTTTTTTTTTACTGCAAAAGTTGAGCTCTTGTGGGAATGTTCCACTGAAATCCTGAATTATTAAGCCTCCTATTTAAATCAGCCATCTTGAGCACCACAACTGGACTGTACTGAGGTTTCAGCAAAATGATGGAATCCGGTGACTACTCATCTCAATCACCTTCTTACTACACTGCAGAAGGAGAGAGAGACATCTTCTTTAGAAGAAGTTGTGGAGCAGGTCATAAATTGAGTATCGTGAATAGTATGAACAACCAAGTTATACTTACATGTATATTAAATACCCTTATTTAAAATATTATTCTTGGCTTTTATGAAGAAAACACCAGTTGTTCAAAGGACTTCATGCTTCATGCTACAGCTCAAATGTTGGTGATGTGTTCATATCTAAGCATAAATCAAATGAACCACCGCGCCCATGAGGTCATTTGAATTACCTTTGAATGTCCAGGAATTTTCACGCTGACTCATACATGCTCCAGTTAGGAGGGGTTTGATGCAGGGTTTAAAGGCATACTTGTATGAACAATTGAGACAAACAATTTGTGTAAGACAAACCTTAGCGGTAAGTTACATTTCATGTCTCTATTTGATTAATCTCTGCTGTTCTGTGTGATTCTGAAGGTGGCTATTGACCCAGATGTCCTTCTTTTAGAGAAAGAGGACATACAGGCAGCCTCATTTACTTTAAAATAGTTTTTCAAGTGATTTTATTGCCACCTTGGTAACACGTTAATTTAAACTTTACTTAACATAAACATATCATGGCAGATGTCATATGCTGTCATGAGAGATTGTGTTCAATAGTATAACTGTAATTATGGAATTTTTTATGGATATTTAGTAATGCAACAGTATTGACAGATTATGTTCAGCAATAACAGTATTGACAGATTGTATTCAGTAATTTTACAGTACTGACAAAACATGATCAGTAATGTAACAGTATTGACAGTAATGTAAAAGTATAGACAGTATGTTCAGTAATATAACAGTATTATTAAAGAGAACTTCAACACCTGCACCACTTCAAAGACAGAGACAAGCTCCTCCATCAACAGAAAGGCATCTTCACTCTCTACCTCATTGTCGACAGGAGCTCCACCCACCCTCCTCCACTGAAAGGGAAGAGGTCACACCATTTTCACATAATTCAAATTGACATTTTTCGTGTTCATGCTGCTATAGTGATGTCAGCAGTACCTGTTTTCCAAACAAGCTCGGACCCTGTCTGCCAGAAATCTCTCACATTCCAGTACTTATGAGATGAATTATTTATTCTTTGAAAACCTATGTTTTTTAATCATGTTTATAATTTCTATTCTGCGGTACTTTTTAAATGACTTTGTATTTTCTCATTTGTAAAGCACTTTGAATGACATCAGTGTATGAAAGGTGCTAAATAAATATACTTGCCTTGCCTTGCTGACAGATTATGTTCAGTAATATAGCAGTATAAACAGATTATGTTGAATAATATAAGAGTACTGACTCTTTATTATGTTTGGTAAAATAAAAATATTGACAAATTATGTTCAGTAAAATTACAGTATTGTGTTACCATTCCTGGTAACTGTCATGGCAGATGCCACAGTGTTTGAAATAATGATGAATAACTTGAAAACACAGCAAAAATTAGCATGTTACATAATCTGTTATACCATTCAACATTAGGACACTGTTCTATTATTGAGCAAAATCTCTCTTGACAACTCATGACAGGATGTGATTATATCTACTATGACATGTCTATAGCATGATTACATCAATGTGAATGTGGTGGACAAAATGAAAACAAAATGTAACAAGTCCACTTCTTAACTTCATGTTGAATGGACACTTAAATTATACCTTAATTTGATTTATGTCCAGGTGCTGACCTAACCTCTGCTTCAGAATCAAGCTGTTGTTGTGAAGTTTTTGTTTGCTGGAAGAGCTTCTGGAAATAACAATGACAGTAAGTCATGACTACTGTGACTATTTGTAATGAAGATTGATCTTACATTGACTGGCCACTTAATTAAAAGAACTTCTACACCCTTTAAACATTTTCTCAGCTCCACTGACCATATAGGAGCGATTTGTAGCTCGTCAATTACAAACTGTAGTCCATCTGTTTCTCTGCATACTTTGTTAGCCCCCTTTTACCCTATTTTTCATTGGTCAGGACCCCCACAGAACAGGTACTATTTGGGTGGTGGATCATTCTCAGCACTGCAGTAACACTGACATGGTGGTGGTGTGTTAGTGTGTGTTGTGCAGGTCTGAGTGGATCAGACACAGCAGTGCTGCTGGAGTTTTTAAACACTGCGTCCACCCACTGTCCACTCTATTAGACACTCCTACCTTGTCAGTCCAACTTGTAGATGTAAAGTCAGAGACGATAGCTCATCTGCTCATCTGTTTGTGTTGGTCATCCTCTAGTCCTTCATCAGTGGTCACAGGACGCTGCCCACAGGACGCTGTTGGCTGGATATTTTTGGTTGGTGGACTATTCTCAGTCCAGCAGTGACACTGAGGTGTTTAAAAACGCTCAGACAAGCGCAACACACACTAACACACCACCACCACATCAGTGTTACTGCAGTGCTGAGAATGATCCACCACCCATATAGTACCTGCTCTGTGAGGGTCCCATGGGGTTCCTGACCACTGAAGAACAGGGTAACAAAGTCTGCAGAGAAACAGGTGGACTACAGTCTGGAACTGTAGAACTACAGAGTGAAATTATGGAAGTAGAGCTGATATAATGGACAAATGGATAAAAAGAATGTAGATACAAGGAGGTGGTTTAATGGATTGGCCGCTTGTGTCTATCAGTGTTCTGTGTGTCTTAACTGCCATTTTTTCAGATAGGTGTTAAGAAATATAACAATATTTTACTGTTTATTGTAATTGTGAAGTTTATTGTGTTATTATTTATTGTGTCTCTCAATCACTCTGTCTTCCTTCCAGGTCAGAGCGTTTCTAGCTCTAGTGCTCCCCCTGCTGTTTGGAAGCACCTCAGTTTCTCAGAAACTGTTCCCGACAGACTGCTCTAATATCTACACTAACGGACAAACACTAAGTGGAGTTTACACCATCTACCCTGCAGGTGACACACCTGTAGAGGTGCAGTGTGACATGGGCTGTGATGGACAAACAGAGGATGGAAAATGGACGGTATGTTAGACTGTATTTCTCTAATAGACTAACTAAAGTATTGAGGTCGATTCACATCTGAAACAATCCGTTGGAAATATTCATTATTACTGACTATCAGCAACAGCATCAGTATAAACTAGTGAACTATCAGTATTAGTGCACTAGTGAACTGCATGCAGTCATGTGTATGTATGAAAAGTCCTAAATGTGTAATTTGTAGAATTTAAATGTCACCAATAAATAGACACTCATTAAATATCAGTGGTAAAAAAGTACAACTAAATAATTGGTGTTTTAATTAGATAAATAGTTAACTCATTTTTTACATCTCTACTTTTATCCATTTTTTTTTTATTTGAGACGTTTACTTTTTACTGTACTACTTTTTGCAATATTGTGATTATGATCACAGCACACCTTTCACTAATTATCACCCTAAATATCAAATGTTCAGTTTATCATATTTTTTAAACCAGATAGACGTCATCCCATTTTGATACTTAAGTACATTTAAAAGCAAATGTTTCAGTACTTTTACTGTCACTTATGCTTTTACTTGAATACTACTACTACCTACTACTACTACTACTAATAATAAGAAGAATAAGAATAAAACAACAACAACAATAATAATAATAACTTGCTACTATATTATCACCACTTTTACTCTGCTGCAAATTTTAGGATTTTAATTTAATTCAATGTGAAGTTCTATAAGCATTCGTCTTAATACTTTACAGTAAGTATAACTGTCTTTATTCCACTAAATAAGTGAATTATCTTTACATCAGGTGATTCAGAGGAGAATGGATGGCAGTGTGAACTTCTACAGACCATGGGAGCAGTACAAGAAAGGATTTGGGAACAAAAATGGAGAATACTGGCTGGGTGGGAATTCGTTATCTATCACAAACACAGTGTAGAGACCAGTTTAGTTACAAACTGAAACTGAAAGCAGAAATGTGAGAAAAGAAATACTGAAGTAAATGTTGTAAGCAATTTATATTTTTAAAGTGTATTTTTTTCAAGAAATTTAAAATATGTACATAAATAAAAATGTAAATAAAATGAAAATATGTACATTATGTACTTGTGTACATAAACATTAGTCTGGGACAGTCTTTGCAGGCAAAGGTAGACAGCTGCAGCATGAAAATACAACTTAGATATACAGTATGTGTTGATGTCAAATAACATGCTAAATATATTCAAAGTGTTAATGTCAGTATAGATAGCTCCAGTGTTGGGGTATATGTATGTATATGTATATTAATGGGTCCTTCTTCCCAAAGAGGAGTAGGAGCTGGAATTATCCATTCCAGTCTGGGCAACTAGAGACTCCCAGAGAGGAATAGACATTATGACAAGGGGTAATTACTCCAAAACAGCAGTCCATTCAAGTTACTAAGTACTTTTCTTAATTTTGATTTTGATTATTTTTTCCAGAAATTCCAGAATTATATAATCTCATTACTTCTAAGATACTCTGTACCAAATCATTTCACTATGTTGGCAGATAGTTTTGCATGTTTCATGTAGTAATTCTTAAAACAAGCAAAATTATCTGCCAATTTAGTGAGATCATTTCATCTAATTTACTCAAATAGAAAATGTCCAAAAGTAGTTAAAGATTAATCTTCTATTATAAGACACTGAAAACATAGAAACATCACACAGAATTAGGTAAACACAGAATTAATAAGATAGTAGTGATTATAGTGTGAAATTTATATTGAACCTGAATTAAATTAAATCTTAACAGCATTTAATAATGTGATAAAACAAACACATCAAGAAACAAGTGGATTCAATAGACAAAATCATGTGCTATGATGCTATCATTTGGTCACACTGAGTTATGTGAGTTTTCCTCACAAGGGTATTTAAAAGGTCTCTTAAACTTAGAACCAAGGCTGAATATTCAGTTTTAAGACAGCAAAATCATAAAAACTTTGGAAAACGAAGACTTCTTTATACCATAAATAAGCTTTGAATATTGTCTCTTAGGTAAAATAGTCACAATTTGGATGTGAATCTTCATGAATAACCTTTATGGCTGATATATGTCTTTGTATCAACAGGATTAGAGAACCTCTACCAACTCACCAGCAAGAGAAAGTATGAGCTGAGAGTGGACCTGGAGGACTTTGAGGGAGGGAAGGTTTATGCTCAGTACTCTAATTTCTCTGTGGACTCTGAAGTCGACGGCTACAGACTCCATGTTGGTGGATTCATTGATGGAGGAGCAGGTGATAAAGAATTAATGATATAGAAATAATTAAAGAAAACAATAGTGATGGATACAGACAAGACCATTGTCATGATCTTCCCTCGCCAATTTAATATTTAAGCTGAACATCCCATTTACATCCCATTTACGGCCACAAATTTAAGTTACACAAAGTGAATTATGTAGAAAATAAAATGACATTTTGGTCTGTAGAAATGTAGTAGGTGGTAAATAAGTAGAATGAATAATAATCCTGTGCCTTTATGCAACTACATCAGTTTATGGGCTTTCAAGTAGCCATTGAATGTGCCTGTACCTTTTTCTTGGACCCAAAGCAAACAGGTGAGGGAAATAAGACAATCATGTATGACCTCTGAAGACTGGCTAAAGCACTACTGGCTGGAGCACTGCTGCTATAGTTTAACAACTCTTTCCACACTTCATTGTTCTTCTGTTCCATGTTAGTTAGAATATTAGTTAAAACCAATGTGAGTTCAATTCTGCCAATAAAAAAGCAGAGCGAATTCTATAGATTGACTTAATAAAAAACTGTGAGCTGCTGCTTTTGAGGGGATTCTTAATATTTCTCTGCTGGCGGCAGCCCTGACCCCTTACCAAAATAAAAACTCTTTAAATCTACACCAATCATGTGACATGTTTGACATTCAGAAAGGCAATTTTTGACAAAGTGTGACATGTTTGTATGTTTTAAATGTAATTCTTTTCCTTTTTTTCCTTATTACGTAATGCTGTTACATGTATTGCATTACTGCATCACCCTGCACATAGCCGTCTGAATAGTCAGTAAGAACATTGTTTATATAAAAAACTTATAAAAAATATCTACATTAAAAATGTTATAAAGTTGTTGTTTCTTATGTTTTGTGATATTTTAATGGGGAAAGCATGTCTGTAGTGACAGATCCTTCTGTCTGCAGGTGACTCACTGGCAACATCAAATGGACAGAAGTTCTCGACCTTTGATAAAGAGCAGGACTCTAGTATGGATCGAAACTGTGCAAAGAGCTATCTTGGAGCACTTTGGTATAATAATTGTCACCAGGCTAACCCAAACGGTATCTATCTGTGGGGAAAGGATGGCACCCATTTCGCTATAGGAAATGTGTGGTACCACTGGAAAGGCTATGATTATGGTCTCAAGTCCATCAGTATGAAGATCAGGCCTGTGGCCTAGAACCATATGATGGGTTCCTTTTGCTAAAATAAAAGCAGCAGAATCTGACAAGACATGTTTTCTTTTCTATTTTTCTTTAGAGCTAGACAGAGTTGAAATATGTTACCAAAAAGGTGGCTATTCTACTGTTTAAACCTGTGTATGTCTTATTCAATACATCAATTTTAATAAAAGTTGCTTAAGTACAGGAAGTAGATTTGTAGCCTTATTTCTTAAAACCAAAATGTTTTTAACTAAAAGCATTACTACAATATGATTATAATAAATTGAATTACACATATTAAGTAGTTATTTAGCTAATTAGCTTGTCTTAACTTAACTGATTTTCCAGAATAATGCAGCTCAATGACTAGACATAAATTTTGATTTACACCTGAATATCTTCTCTTCCTTGTTGGTCAGACAACTGTCAACATCTCATTTCACTTGGCCTGTATCATAGACTGCTATGACATCTGTGACAAAGGATTCACCCTCAGTATGGTGTACACTATCTACCCTGGAGATGATACCCTTGAACAGGTGACATGGGCTGCATTCTAAAGCCATACAAGGAAGAGATTTGTAATGGAAAAAACCTGTAGGGTGTTTATTCAGTGAAAGTTCAAAATTTTAAGCAGTGAAATGGAAACAGGGTCTTGAAGTCACTTCCTAAAGTTGTTACAGATGTGCAAGCTACCCTCAGGTTTGGGCACAGTCAGACTGGGCTACAGGCTGGTGGAGTCTTTGATGATTCCTGCCTGGAGCATCTTCTCTACTTCCTCAGTAGCCAGTCATTGATTTTCTGGTCTTGGGTCGGCTTGCTGCTGCACCATTTGCCTGGTGGAGTTTTGATCATATGTTGTCATATGCAGGGTTGGGCAAAATAGTTTGAAAAAGTAGTGATTGCTGAATATTTAATACACTGTCCTACACATTTTCAGGAATGTTTTCTATTAAAATGCATAAAAAGTAGCATATTTGGAATACATTTAGAATACATACACATTAGACATGGGAAAAACTCTGCTGTAATTTCTGTTTAATTCAAACTGTAAGTTATTCAAATGAAAACAAAATTGATTACAAAATTTTGTAATCAATTGATTTATTAGTCTACTCAGGCTTCAGCAACACCTTCAGTGTGTTTTAAAAAACACTTTTTGAGTCTTTCAGTGACATTTGGGTGCTGCGTCTTCGGTAACGGTACCACACAAGATGTTTTCCGCAGTTGTGGTACCCTCCTGAGCTTCAGGCTCATGTTGAACATGACCTTGTAGCATGAGCTATCCTGGGCTCAAGATGGACTCTGGAGGCAGGGTTCAGGGTCACAGCAACCATTTTACTTTAATTTCACACCAAATGAAACAAAACCAAAAATACACTGGCCACTTTTCAGTGGTTTCAACCAAGACTTTTTCAGTCCTTTCCTCACTGGAGCTTTTCAGCTCTATACTCCTCAGTCTCTTGCTGCTGCTGTTCATCCTTCTCTCTCTGTTCTCTCTTCTCTCTTTTTAAATGGCACTCACACCGTCAGCCAGATCAGTATCATCTGGCTGAGCCAAGAGGGAATGAGAGCTTGTTGCTTGGGCTCCCTGTCACCAGCCCCACCTTGGAGCTCATCCACCTGAATCAAATGTGAGGCAAACTAAACTGGTCTCACAGCAGAGAAACCAGTGGGGGGTGGCTGTGAGATGAGAGTTGTGGAGAGGGGGGCAAATGTGGAAGACAGGGAAGGGCAGTACACTGGGAGTGCAGAAGAGGGGAGTTGCAGCAGCGCTATCTGTGTACGGGAAGGTGAGAGAACAAGTCTATTGAAAAATATTTTGAGATTGTTCACCCACTTCTGCTCCCCTACAGCCTGGTGGTTGGGCTTCTTGTGGCCGGAGATTGTTTTAAGGCTTTTCCAGACCCCGCTGACATTGTTTTTCTGTAGCTGTTTCTCCATCTTCTTCCTGTAGCTGGCTTTTCCCTCCCTGATTTTTCCTCTCAGGTCCCTCTGCACAGCTCTCAGCTCCACCTTGTCTCCTGATCTAAAAGCCCTCTTTTTCTCCTTCAGGAGAGTCTTTATATCAGCGTTGAACCAAGGTTTGTTATTGGAGAAACACCAAACATTCTTGGTGGGTAAAGTGTTCTCCACACAGAAGTTAATGTAATTTGTTATACAGTGCGTGAGACTGTCAGTGTCCTCCCCATAAGTATCACACAGTTCTTCCTACACTGTTGTGTCAAAACAGTCTTTCAAAGCCTCTTCAGTCTCCTCAGATGATTTCTTCACTGTGCAGGTGAGAGCTGACTCCCTATGCACAAGTGGTTTGTACACAGGCAGAAGATGAACCAGGTTGTGATCTGGTCTTCTAAGAGGAGGTGATGAGTTACATGCCTACTTGGTGTTGGCATAAAATGGATCCAGTATTTTATTGTCTCTGGTGTGACTGGTTACATACTGGGTGAACTTTGTGAGAGTGACGGATGGAGAAAAATGGTTAAAGTCCCCGGAGATAAGAATGAGGGCCTGTGGGTGCTGTGTCTGCAGCCTGCTCACAGCTGCATGCAGGACATCACAGGTGGTGTCAGCATTAGCAGACGGGGGGAATTTGTGAGGACTTGTTTGAATGCCTTTATCAGATACCTCATGGCCTAAAAATGTCAACTGCCAATGACCGCTGCATGAGGTTGCACTTTTTGAGGATAAGGATGAGTTCTGCTTGCTGTAACCTTAAGATCACTGCACTGAGATAGAAAGATGTTGTTCCACATCTGGAAAGTAGATCGCAATGTTGTCTATGTAGATCAAGATGCACTTCCCTCTCAGGTCTTGCAACACGTTCTCCATCAGACGCTGGAAGGTAGCTGTAGCATTTTCAAGTCCAAAAGGAAGATTTGTCAATTCATATAACCCCACGACATGTGACTAAAGCAGTCTTTGGTATGCTAGCCTCTTCAACACCTACTTGCCAGTACTCACTTCTCAGGTCTAGTGTACTAATAATTTGAGGACCATGAAGGACCTTAAAGATCCAAGTAAGTCTTGGTATTAAACCCACGGTAGTCAACACAAAATCGAATCCCGCCATCTTTCTTGGATACCGGTACAACAGGGGAGGCTCAAGGTGAGATGAAAGGTCTTATGTTCTTTTCCAGCATGGCATTGATTTCCTGTTCAATGAACTTCTGCTTCTCCAGTGACACCTTATGTGCTTTCTTCCTGATGGGTATGTGGTCGGTTGTGTTAATCTGATGCTGGAGTCTGGTAGTGAAACCCAGTGCATCTGTACACTTCTGTGGTCTGTGAAGCAATAAGTTGTGGAGTCTGTTTTTGTCTGAAATGTCCACATAAGCTGTGTCTCTCAACAGTTCAAGCTGTTGCAGAACTTGTTGAGAAACACTTGGCAAGGGCTGGGCTATACATATTTACAGGGTATCTCGCAATAAGGTTGGTGTTTCACAAAATGCATAAACTTGGAAAACATCCTCTGCATCTGGTAACTGGTAGAAGGACTGCTGGAAGTTAATGTTCACCCCAGCTCTTAGTAGGAAGTCCATGCCTAGAACCAAAGGAAATGCTAGTTCTCTGTTGTCCAGCACATACAATTTTGAGCTTTGCTGTTAGCATGTGCATAGAATTACTTAATCTCAGACATGTCTCTTTCAATGAGGGTCCCCACTCTCACCAAGCACTGACAGTCTGAGACCGAGTACTGGAATGCAAAATCCCTGAGGCTCTCAGTGGTCTGTTGTCACCTTTAATGAGGCTTCTCTCTATTTCTGCCTCATAGTCATTCATCAGACAGGATTTCAGAAACACAGCTTTGAATTGTGGCCAGAAGCTGACATACCTCCTTTCTGCAGACCAACAGTCTACAGCAGTTACCTCCAGAGCCGATATTAAGACAGCAAGCAATTCAGCCTCACTCAGGGGTGGACAGCTAAAACTCTTCGCACTTATCTACAAAGGTGACTGGATCCATGTCTCCATCCCTGCCTCCATATTTGGGGAAAACCGGCATATGGGGGCAACCTGGCTCTGTTTAGGCTTCAGCCATCTTGAGTTTGATTCCCATCCAAGTTTAAATTGGAATGGTGGACTGAAAGAGCTGTAGGAGTAGAAGGAGGAATAGAGACAGTAGTAGGGGAGGCATGGTGGACAGGAATGCCAGTGGATAATAGGCTGTCAATCTTCTTGTTTCTGCGTTTGAAACAATCCACTAATGATAGACCCAGGTCCTTTGACTTGAGCACCACAGTCTCCATGATGCGATTAGTCTCTCTTTCCATTCTGTAGCACATTCTCTCCTCTGAGGCTTGCTTGTTTCAGGTCAGATCCTGGTACCTCTGCTTTAACTCCCCCAGTCTATTGTCTAGACTGCCAACCTCTGCTCACACTCAACACCAACTGCTGAAGAAGTCTGACTGTCCTGGTCATGTAGGAGTAGTTCAGGTAGAGGAGGAGGAATATCTAGATCTTCACATCCTCTTCTGTCTCAGAGTTTACATACAGACTACAAAGTGTCCTAATGATGTCACTGAGAAGTTCTCGTTTTGTAACAAAAGGACTCACAGTGAACTCAAGTGGTAGGCTAGGCCCACCCAATATCTCAGGCTGAGTGGCTGCCATGTTGTGTGGTGCTCATTCTTAGATTATTCTGGTGGTTATTTCTTAGAAACAGAAAGAAAAAAGGAGTCAAAGACGGTTCTCATACAGGCCATTAAAATATACAAGACCCAGCAGGACCCCTTTGCAACTGGATCTATATAAAATGCAGGGAACAAGAATGTCTTGGACTATACTTTGAGTAAACAGCCGTATAATACAACAACGATGATATACCTTTTTGTTCTGGTATTACTGAAATGATGAAATGCTGAATTTGCAATGTACATTGGATTACCCCACCTCTACACAGACAATAGAAACATTCCTTTAACACACAACACCAGTCCCATAACACAGCCAACACACATGAAGTCCTAAAGAAGTCAAATTAAGTCCATGTGGGCCTGAGGCCTCACTCAAAAGTCCAGAAGCATTTTTGAAATCAAAACATGGAAAAAAAAAGTCAAACCAGTCCTTTTTTGCAGAGTGCTGAAGAGATGAAGGGAAGCTGGGAGATAAAGAGTTCATCCAATGGGACAATGTCCAACACACTCCTTGTTACTTGTTC